GTGCTCGAATGGTGCATGCTTAGCTTCTTGCAGGTGATTCCCATTTGAGATCTCCAACTGACTCATTATTTTTTGCGACCTCAGGCAGCGCTTTTTCATTCTGCCCCTTTCCCTCATTGATGTTCTGCAAAGAAAGGGCCGCACCAACTAAACACTTATTACTGTGTCATCCGCCTAGAGACTAAGATGGGGATTGACCCTTGGGGATTGAACTATTCATGGTCAGGATTTCATAAACGACAATGATCCATACAGGAGCTTCGACCATGTCGCACAAAGAGCCATACATGCACCGCAAATGAGAATTCGTAAGCAAGCGAACACGCAAGCTGCATGCAGTTGCTCAACAGTTCACCAGTGTGAGGCATTGAATCAATGAATCGGTTAATGTTGAGGACAAGAGACATCAAGCGGACATACAAATGGAAGTAAGGAACAACACCAAGCTCTAACTGCACCCTCCGAATAAATGTCTAGCTGTCATGTTTGGCTCTTGGGACAGGAACTGTACCGCTACAGAGTGCAAAGCAACCAGAATTCAAAGAAAACTGCGCGAGACAGTGGATGGATGAAATGTTGCACCAGCTCGTAGGTGGTTTATCTCCTTGTTTTCAGGGTTTCATCCATCCCAACTTGTGCAGGATTTCGTCCATCCACAGTATGGGTTCTAACTTCAAGTAGAGACACGTAACGCAAATTGGAAGAGTGCTGCGCACTGCAGGGTGAAGCTGCAAAGCGTGTGTGACTGCTTTTGATTCAGGTGTTGCTCAATGCGAGCGAACATTTTGGAAGGGTGCTGTAGCAGGTTGTGCGCAGGGTGCTGTGAGGTCAAAGAGCTGCGCGCAGGTTGTTTCTGCGTTGCACTTACATTTGCATCGTTTGTCAAGCAAGCACCTGCTTTTTGACAACGCGGTTCTTGACAGGTTGGGGCCAGGCTGGTATAATTCAAGTCATCTTGGCGGCCAAATGATTTCTTCATTCTAGTTCCTCTTTGGGGTTTGTGTCAAAATGGGGAACTCTCGAAACGGAGTGGTTTTCCATTGGTTTCCCTTTGAACCAACCCAAAAGGGTAACCCGCACAAGGTGACGCCCGTTCAGCACTGCTTTCCCGGCCGACGCCCGAGGCTTTGCGATTGGCTTAGCCTCGGTCGGGTGCGCCCACGGATCCGCGGGGTCCTGGTTCCGCGGAATTCGGAATGCGGAATGCGTGGAATTCAGCGGAGTTCGCATCCTCAGTGCCTCCTTTTTTACTGGTCTAACAGCGGATCCTAACTGGTTGCAAAGCTTGGTTCGCCTAGCGCGGCTGTCTACGGGGTTGATTTTGATCTCAGAGACATGCACAGAGACAGTCTGCGAGCAGTTTTGACAGAAAAGAAAGAAGCATCTCGATCGCACTGATTCTTTGTTGTCCATGTCACTTCGAGCTGCAACAAATATCGCCTAACCCCAGGCTGTGCAGCCAATCAATGGCACGGGCCGGATCGATGCCAGAGGGCCAGGTTCACTCACTCTGATCAAAAGGAGCTGCCTAGAGTGACGATTTTGGGGGGGTGTCTATGTTCGTAAAGGGGATCCCCATGGGATCCCCCAAATTGAGACTCGAACAAGTGAGGATTTTGGGGGTGTCTATCGCTTAATCTTCAGGGGAGAGCTCTGCGATTCCGGTGAAGTGGTGAAACGAGAGAGGTACCACATTGTCTCTTGAATTCGTTGCAGCTACTGTTGGCAACTGCGATGGTTTCCGCTTCACTTTTGCCAGGCACACGGCCATCGCGGAGATTCAGTTTGCAGACTATGTCTTTCCTGCGCCCTGCCCCCAGGTGTGCGGGTTGCGTGGGTTCAGCTGGAATGATTTGTGTGAGTACCGGCTTCGCTAAAAAAAACAGTGTCACCGTGAATGGCGGCGGAACGCGGTGGCCTGCAGAGTGCCATTTGTGCGCTTGGCTGGTGAGGAGTTGGCTATTGTCATATTCAGCCTTCTATTGAAAGAGCAGTTGACGAAAGGGATTGGACATGAGTCGGCGTACAACTGTCATTTTGCCCTCACCTGAAGTTGACTTACTCGAATGTTGTTGGCAAAGGTTGATACCGTACGCAAGTTAATTCGGGAAGAAATGTGGTGGTTGGTGTGCAGCAGCTGTTAAATACCTGCAAGAGCGCCGCGATATGCAGTTTTGCCCAGTCCTGCGGCAAACACGGAAACCGCCAAGCGAACTGCTACTACGTAGTTGTTCATAGATTGTAACTCCAGTGTGCTGAAGTCACTTGCTGTCTTCTTGGCTCTTTGCCATAACCTTTAGAGCGAGACGTGTGGCATATCCAACTCTTCGATGCCGTCCTTTAAGAATTTGGTTTGCTCTCTCTCTCTCTCTCTCTTTTGCCTCCGGGCCAAAACCGCCGCTCCCAGTTTTGACCAGATTGTGAACGAGGCCGCCAAGTACCGCCCGGGTGCCCGGATGGGGGCCCCTCAGTTTTTGGGTCCAAGCGGTTGGGCATTGGGCAACTTTGGAATTCGGCCATGGCCTTCCATGCTGGGCTTGGCTTGAGAGCTGTCAGAATCAATACCGGCCTCTAGCTGGTGTGCTTCTACAAGTTGGGGTTAATCCAAGTACATGGAGGCGGCGAATCCGTTGGGGGGTCGGGTGATGGGTGCATGTGATGGGGCTATAATTCTCTGGGCGTGCTTGGATGTGCTTTGCTGCGCCGCAAGTGCAGGAGCATTCAATGGGAATTACCAGTGAACCCCAAGGACTTGATCTTTCGAGGCATGACGGTTCTCTTTCTCACCTCCCGTCCCTTTCCAACTCCCAAGGTGTTACACAGCAGCTGGAGAACCTGATGTAGGAAGGTTGGGAAGCGGGGATGGGATGGAGACAGGAAATATGAAAAGAGACTCTCCATCCATTTTTTTCCTTTCATTTCCCTTTAATATCCTTCACAATCTCATATCCGATCGCCCAAGTCTTCCTCTTTGTGCTTCATCGAAGTCGATCGCGACTTGCCTCCTCCTGAGGCTACCGAGCCGGGAGCACTTGGTTGGGCTGCCCAGGGCTGCAGAGAAGTTCGTGCGCTGACGATTGCGACTTGGGATGTGGGTGGTGTTTCTCCGCTAGTTGCTATTGGCCCGCTTTAGTGTCGATCTAGGACTCATAAAAGCTTTTATCTTTTTTGGGCATCCAAGGTAAGCTTGCCCCTTGAGGTGCTGTTGTAGCCCTGTGCGAGCAATGATGGCCTTAAAACCAAGCAGAGGTTGAACATCTTCATGTCGCAGAGGACCAGAGGCAAAAGGAATCCCTTGCAAAGGACACCGGCTGTGGACCCCGCCTCCCCCCTTTCGCCGTTCGAACGAGGCACTGCGGCTCGCTCACCATCCGGATGCCTGCCGGGGCAGTTGGCCACGGAGGGCTTTACCACTCTCAGTCTCCAGAGGCGAGGCGGCCTTCGCTTGCCGCCGGGAGCCGAACAGACCAAACCTTCGAACGGATGCGACAGGGCCAGCCGGGCTTTTTGGGAGTGCATCTTTTCCACGTGACATGGCCGCTTTTTTTCCCACCAGACCAATGGGCAGCCACTCTGTTGGCGAAAATCTGCAGAGGGGCTCGCAAAGCTTCCGTGCCTCTGGCTGAGGCTGCCAACATTGCGAACGTGGCCCATGTATTGATGTTGTTTCCACGTGTTTGTTAAGTCTTTTCGGTTGCATGCAGCTCATTGTTACGCAGTTCCCTGATGTGTTGCGAGGCAAGCGTAGGGCTGTGTGTCATTGATGTTTCCGACACACCGAGTATCGGTTTGGAGCCCCAGCGGGTTTTCCTTTACACCGAGGCAAAAACAAAACATGAGGAGGTCTTACCTGAAATCGACCTACTGTTTTGCGGGACGACGTTCCGAGTTCCGAAGGGAGGTTGCCCTCCGGAGGCACCCGCCAGGAGGTGTCCGTAAGGAAATGACTCAAGCCGCGGACCTGGAGTAGCGGACCTGGAGTATGCCTGGATCGCCAGTTGCTGTTTTTTTTCCATGCACTTTACCCCAACAACCAGCAGCAGTGGCTGAAAAAAGCAGCAACGTGGCTATCTAGGTGCTTTGCACTGGAAGGTCTTGAGCAATCGTCATTTTTCAGGCCTTTCGGTTCCAAACCCGAAAGGCCGAAAGAGATCAGTATGCATACTGATGTCCCGTGAAGAAACGGCCCGTTGATTATCAGCGCTTCGGCCTTGGCCACGAAAACTGGCCATGCGGTTGTGTACGGCTCATGGGCTGAGGGCTGTGTGTGGCGCCCAAAACAGCCCGCCAACAACAATGACCATACGGAAACCAACGCAATTAACAGCTGCCACATAGGCGTTATGGCCATTTGGTTCGATCTTTGGACTTTGACTGTTTGGGAAACAGTATATTTTCCATTCAACCCACAAAAAGTTAGACTTTTTCAGGGGTCAACAGCAACCATAGGGGTTTCATGAAACATGTTGCTGATGGTATCGACATCCTTGATAAACCCTACGGTTCGACTGCGAGGCTTGCTTGTGCATTGGGAGATAGATCTCTGCGCGAGGCCTTCTTTACGCACTGCCCCGGTTTGAATGTGGCCCGGAGCCCCGCAGCCGTTCGCCGCGAGTGTGCGTCATGTCTGGACAAGGAAGAGCTCGATGTCTTTGCGTGACCTCAGGTTGATGTTGCCGCAAGGCTCGTTCGGGCGTGGGTTTGGAATTACCAGACCAGCCCCTAGGCCCGCAGTTTTAACGGCCAGTGCGGTTCAGTTGGTAGTTGGGGTTTGGTTTGTTGAGGGCGAGCCAAGCGATTTCTTGTTGGTGCATGTTTAGGTGCCCAGTCTTGAACCAGCCGGAAGCCGATGATTTTTAGGCTGTCTGCTTTGCTACACCCCAAGCTGAGCCGCAATCACCCTGGGCAGCCTTGACTTCTGCTGTGGTAGACGCACACCTGACGTGAAGCACACACAACATTGGAGCTTCGGCGCTTTCGAGATTGAATGCCAGACCGCAATGGCCATGGTCATTGAGTAAGCTGATTTTCCCGAAAGGCCCCAAGGCTCCCCCCGCCCCCCGCGCAGCAAAAAGCTGCAAACAATGCCACCCCACTTGGCATACAAATCAAGCAGGAATGAATTGAATACGTGCTCAGAAGTGCCTCGATGCATCACCGAGTTGTCCAGAATCAAAGGTGTAAGTTTTTGTTGTGGTGCAGTAGCTGAGGTTGTTTTGGTTGGTTTCTTGGTTGTTCAGCACCCCTGCTCTTTTGGTTTGGTGATTGCCCCACAGAACCCCAAACTAAGACCTTCCAATTCCCAACCGGGTCGGTTGCATCTCTGGGGAATCATGGTGTTGCATTAAACAGCACCTAGTTATTAGTTAACCTATTTCGGGTACCCCTCTAGCCCCCTCTCCATAGTTCCTTTGTCCAAATCAAGCACTTTATCAGTGGCTTTGCAACTCACCCAGCCTTTTTGTATCCTTTTCAGGTTGGTTAAAGGGCGAATCACAAAATGGTGCCGTCACCCTTGGACGTATACTCATTTGGTTGCGTCGTCTTTTAGGGGAGGACCCCAACATGTGTTTTATGTTTGTGTTTCCTTTTTTATTTTATTTTTTTTGTGTGTGTTTTTGTTTGGCTTTCCTTTACAGCTACGACACATTGGTTTTCTCTTTTGAAGCCTACCAACATCGGGTGGCCACCAAACCCTTTTGTGCTTCGCTTCCCGAGGTGGTGCCACGAGGACCCATCCAGGCCAAGGGCCTGCTGCTGGCAGCCATCCGCAGCGACTCGACACCTCAAGGGCTCCTTTGTTGCTCAGTGGGTTGCTTTTGTTTTGTCAACTTTTTTTGGGGGAAGGTTGTTTTTCTTCTTTGAACTCAAGCAACCAAAAAAGGGTGCCCTTTTTTCCCATGGCAACTGGGCATCTGAGGGTCCATAGGCCGGGAAGTCTCTGCGAAGATGAAGTCTCTTCGCATGAAAAAGCTGGGTGCTTTCGGCGCAGAAGCTGGAAGCTGCCTAATGTCCTCTTGGGATTATTCCAGAGGATTGTACTAACTGGGGGTGGGCTCCTGTTTTGATGAAGGGCCAGCTCATTTTAGGGGATTCCTTTTATTCGCGTGGTGCTTCGGAAAAAGATCCAAAATCGACAGTAGTAAGGGTTCATTGAGGAATCGTAATAACAACCTTATGGCCGGCCTTTGCGATCCTTTGCGCTCTTTTTGGGGTATCTTCTGTGGATGGTTTGCAAGTTTTGAATGGAGCTCACTTGAGATTTTATTGGAACCTCACCTCCCTGCCCTTTGACCAAGCTCGGCATATGTGGTCGGGTCCCGACGGTGTTTTTTTGTTGTTGTTGTTGTTTTCAGCCCGAGCCTGTTGTTTGACCTCCATTTTACCCGGTTTAGCCCAAACAACCAATTCTTTGGTGCATTTTGCTTGGATGTTAGGACTTTAACTTTTTGCCGTAACTCATGGGTTTTCCGTATTAAACCACAAAAAGTGACACTTGTAGCAGAGCAAATTTCGCAACCGAGAATTGGTTGGCGGCTGGGAAACACACCCATGAAGCGGGGTCCCACCACCAAAGGGACCGCTTAAGGCCCGGACCCCACGCTGGTCTTCGAGCCAAAGGTGCGCCTGGCGTGTGAGGGCGCTGTCGCGCTGTCGCTGGTCTCAAATTGGGAAGCGGAGCCCGTTTTGGATGGTTTGAAAGGGAAGCCATTAGGAAGCCAACCACCTGGAAAGGGCCCTAAAAGAAGAGAAACACCTAACATCTTCTGAGGCCGTGCCTGTGTTTCTTCTGCGTTCTGGGCTCTTTGCCCCGAGCTTTTCATTGAAGGCTCATAGCAAACATGTTGTCCCACTCTTCTCAAGATTAAAAAGGTACGGGGGCACGTGTTGCCCTCCCGACTCAAGATGTTAAAAGGGCAATGATGTAAGCCACGCTCAGTTGCAGCAGGGTGTTTTTTTTGAGTGGTAATCCATTTTACCTTGATTAAACTGTCCCGTATGTTTCGTTGTTTGCAGGGCTTGTTGGCGCCGCCCAATTTTCTGGAAGGAGCCACTACAGATGCTTTCTCTCTGAGTGGAAGTGGAAAGCTCCAGTTGACTTGTCACGGCGCCGCTCTGACAGGGCACTGCATGGAACTTTGTGAATGCGACTGCGAGGGAAACGGGGCATTGGGGTGGGCCCTCTGGCTGCAAGACAAATGCGTACAGGAACTCTAAAGCCCGACTCAAAAGCAGATCGCCGGCTCTCGCCGGCTGGTTCAAGACAGGTCTTGTACCGCCAGGCGGTGGAGGCTGGTTGGGGGGGGGGGGGGGCTGGAGATGAAGCGTTTATGCCCGAAAGTGCTTTCCAGATTGATTCTTCGTTATTCATGCCGGCAAGGTGGAAGAAGCTAGCTCATGCATGATGACCCCTGACCTCTGACCTATGGATGGCTTATGTCCGCTCGATATGTCAGAGATTTGCTCAAGAGACCGCACAGACAAGTGAGTGTGGGTCAAAATTAAACCACCAAAAAAGCGCGGGTTGTTGTCCTTCCATTTGCCAAGGTTCCCCTTTTTAGGTACCTTCTTTTTTGCCCACAGCCAAGTGGCTGGCGCCAGCGCGCTCGCGGAACCGCGTGAGGAGGTGCCAGTGGAGGACTTCGAGCTGCCGATCGGCAAGGCGATATTCGGCAGAGATGGAAACCGGGGGCGTCGTCCTTTTTTTTCTAGGGGGACCCCGGAAAAGAGTTGGGTGTTGTCGTTGTTTTTGGTAGGGGGACCCCGAAAAATCGTTGTTGTTGTTTTGTGTATTTGTTTCTCCTTCCTTTGGGCTTTCATTCAAAACCGCCAAACCCTGAGAAAACGACACACCCAGTGGTTGTTTTTTTGGAAAGTCAGGCGGCTGGCAGTGCCTTTCCCCCATTTTGGGGTGCTGCCCCTGTACTTCCGCAGGCTGAGATCGTCCGGGAGGGGAAGGATGTGACCTTGATCGGCTGGGGCAATCAGGCGGGAATGGGACCCAGGACCTCAGGAAGACTGGCGACGGCAGGTGCCACGCAAAAAAAAATGAGCGTGGAACTCAGAAACCAAGGCCCCCACAAGGAAATTCTTCGAAGAATGATGGCTTGTCGGGCTTCGTTGTCATTTTGTTTCAATTCAGTTCGGGTTAGCTTTTTCTGAGGCCCAGACCTCCCTGTTTTTGACCTCAGCTTGCCAAGTGGAGCGTCTTACTCGCTCAGCGAGCGCAAGCGCGCCTGGCCGGAATGAAGGGCCAATCCTGGAGTCGCCTCGGCATGGGAATCCTTCTGCAGGAGCCACAGTGCTAAGCAATCATCCAACCAAGGAACAGTCCAACGAGACATGTATGTTTAGTTGAACAAGTAGAGTTCACATACTTGGTTTTTCAAATCAGTCTCTCTTGGAATCAGGGAGCTCCCATATTTTTTTGGTGGCAGAGTGGCAATGAAAAGGGATCAATTGACTTCAAGAACCTGCCCTTTTGGGGCGGGGGCTTCCTTAGCAGATCTTTGGGGCTTTGAGGCATTGCACCATAGCCCTACCTAAGTCAATGTAGCACCTGGCGGTTTCTGGAAATAGGGGCCCCTTTTTGGATGGTTGTAAAGGCAAGCCAAAGAAACCAGCTGGAGGGTCACAGATTTTGAGAAACACCCATCTGAACAAATGATCGCGAGCCTAGGTGGGGGCAAACCGAGCACACCCATGAAGGTTCCTGCCCCTGGGCGTTTCCTTTCTTACCAGGGCTCATCTTATATGGGTGCGAGTTTTAATAGGGGAACCCTTGGTGGGCATCATTTGGGTTGGGATTCATGCGCCAGTCACTTGTGCGGTGGTTTCCTTTATGTTTATATTAGGCATATGTGTTTGGGCACCGACGAGCTCAGCTTGGGCAACACCTTGAAGCGTCCCTTTGCTTGTATCCGGTTTGCGGATTACATAATTTTGACCATACTAATAGCAGGTGAAAGGACGGCCTGCATTAGGGTGTCTCTGTTTTTGCGAGTATCCTGTTTGGGGGGGGGGTCAAAGGGAAACCAAAAGGAGGACAGCCTATTTTGGGGGCGCACCCAAAACGGGATGGCAAGCAGATCACTTGCTCGCTTGATCCAACCGAGTAGCACCGGCTGCCAGGTGCTGGCTGCTGCTTTGGAGGGTGTCGCCCCTTTTGGGGTGAAATTGAAGGGACGCCCACCCGAAAACGGCACTTCTGCAGATACCCCGAAGTGGTGAAACTGATTCTGTTTATCATACGTATTGGCAGCAGACCGGCCATTCCCCCAGTTCCTTTGGCTTTTGGCTTCGCCGAAGCCTTCCCAGGTTTTGCAACCGGATTACAACAAACACCAAAAACACACACAAAACAAAAAGCAAAAACAACAACAAAAAACATTAAACACAAAAAAAAATCAAAAAAGGGGGAAAAACAACAAACGAAAAGTCAAACGCATAACAACACAGGTCCTTCACCCTGAACAAAAATGGGGGGGGATTCCGACCCGAGCGCAGGTGCATCGGCTGCTGAAGGCGGCAGACCTTGCATCGGAGGAGGGCATCAGCTGTGAAGTCATCGACCTCCAGCCCCGCGCTGAGAAGCTTCGATTCCCATGGGTAGGTTTCAAAATCTAGCTCCCTTCTTGGTTGCCTTCCCGTCACCATTGGAGTGCGTGTCTCCAGTTTTGTATAGGAGAGCCGGAAAACCACCCTTTTGGGGATCCACCTATTTCTCAGTTGTTCAGTGACCCTGGAAAAAGGGGTTCCCCTTTTTGGGGAAGACCATTTTTGGGGCAGCCACCAAAAAGTTGTTCGGTGGCACCAATTCGTGTTCCCCCTTTTTTTTTGAAACCTGCTCCACTGAAAATGGTCTTCCCCAAAAAGGGTTCCCTTTTTCCAGGGTCACTGAACAACTGAGAAATAGGTGGATCCCCAAAAGGGCGGTTTTCCGGTTGTCCTATACAAAAATGTTTCAAAATCTCAGTTGTTCGGTGTCACCAATTATTTTCCCTTTTTTTGAAAGCTACCCCACTAAAAATGGTCTTCCCCAAAAAGGGTTCCCTTTTTCCAGGGTCACTGAACAACTGAGAAATAGGTGGATCCCCAAAAGGGTGGTTTTCCGGTTGTCCCATGCAAAAATGGAGACACTCACTCCAATGGTGAAGGGAAGGCAACCAAGAAGGGAGCTTCCATTTTCTTGGTAAAGGATGGTAAAGGGAGCTTGCACAGTCTGCATGCTGCTATTCTCAAGCGATGTCCCCAAGTTTCAGGGGAGCACAGCCTGAAGTTCGCAAGAGGGGGTGCACCCCCCGACAGTTTCTCCGTATCCTCAACAAAAACCACGTGTTAAAGTCATGCGTATCATGTTGACCTCTACTACATACATATATATATATATGGTACCCCCCCTGGAATACTCAGGTTTTTTGCCAGAAATTGACATTGCTTTTGACTACACATAGCCACCAAATCCTCAAGCCAAAACACATCACAAACGAAAAGGACATTTTGCATCCAAGACGCAATGTTTGCTATCCCTTCATTGCTGGATTTGTTCTGCTGTATCTCTCCTTTTGCTCGCGAACAATTGTTACCAAAGCTACGATGTCACAGCTCTTGCTGGATTTGTTTCGCTGCACCTCCCCGTACTCATCAAGAACAAAAGAACTCGAGAAAACCCAAACAAACCTAGAAACAAAACAAGCTCGAGAAAACCAATCAACCAAACAACCAAGAGAATGGCTGGTCTGGCCTCATATTTTTGTTTTTTGGTTCTCTCGAGGCTTTTTTGGTTTTGTTACGTGTTTGTTTGTTTTCCTCGAGTTTTTGTTTTTTTGCCTTTTCGTGTATGGGTCAGCTTGTTTCGGGAGAAAAGGCCTTTGTAGACTCCAGCGATGTGCTGACTCAGCACAGCACGCCCGGGGCCAGCGCTCACTGTTTTCGCAGGTCGCAATGTGAAGCCTGTTGCCAAACAAGGTTCCTCAATAAGGCTCAATTGTAAAGCTCCTGAAAAGGCCCCTTATGAAGCTCCTTTTGATCCTTCTACAGCTCCTTTTAGGGCGCCCACCATTCCTTTTAGAGCTGCTTGCGGAGCCCCTTTTGAAGCTCACTTGTTAAGCTGCTTCTAAGACTTCTTATGAACCTCTTCACAAAGCTCTTGATAATTTCGTGTAAAGCTCCTTACGCGACTCCTTTTTAAGCTCTCTTGTGCCCGTGTAAAGATGCTTGTAAAACTTGTTAAAGCTCGGTATAAAGATCCTTATAAGCTCCTTGAACAGCTGCTTAAAAGGCTCCTTATCAAGCTCCGTTTATCGCTCCTAAGAAGCTCTTGAGACTTTAAAAGCTACTTTTGAGGCTCCTTGCGCGGCTCCTGTGAAGGCCCCTTGTAAGGCTCAGTATGCCAAATTGGATTCCAGTCGAAGTTTATTAGGACATTCCCTTTAGAATGTCTATATTGCATGATAATTTAAGAGGGGTTTCCTTTCCACATGATGCGAATAGTAGAATGCGCACAGAGTTTGATTCCATTAGCCTCCTATCTTCAGTCAGAATTTGAATAAGAAGTCCTTCCCATGAATCTTAAATGTGAATCCCTTTTTAATAAGAAAGAATTGAATCTTTAGTTAGAATTGTGATAGAATTAGAAAAGGACATAATTGCAGTTTAATGTCTATCTTAGTTGAGCATTTAAGTAGGAATTACTTTCAAATTAGGACGTTAATCTAAGTTGCTTGCTATGTAACTGAAAAAATGAATGTCCATGCCGATTGATGATTTAAGTAGGAATTCCTTTCCAACCAGGATTTCAATCACAGATGCAGATGCCTAAGTTGTTTTTGACATGCTAGTACTTGGTGGGTGCGGACACACGTGAGCAAATACAGATGAGCAGATGACCCTTCAGAGCTGGATGAATCAGACACGAATGCCCCAAATGGAGTTCATGCGGGGGGGGGGGGGCAGGTGAGCATATTTTTGTATATATATGTAATACATATGTATATACATGTATAGAGATACCATCAACATACCGCAGCCCTAACAAAGTCCATGTGGAAGAACCAAGAAATGTGTTGTAAGTGTCCCTCTCTCTCAATATATACACATGCGGCCTCTCCAAAGCCATGGGTCCACGAGTTTTCAAGCTGGAAACCAAAAAAGTAAAACTCAGAAGAGCGAATGTTGCTCTACTTCAAGGAATCTTACTGTTTTACTTGTCCTCACTCACAACAAAGTAACAAGTCAAACAAGTCAAACTTGTGGAGCCAGAAGCCGAAAGTTATCCGGCCAAAAGTAAAGCTTGCTTCACTTCACAGAGTTGTTCTTTTTTACGTATCCCCCCGCAAACGCAAGCCGTGTAAAACTCCGAAATTAAAGCTGTTCTTTCGTCAGGCTGGGTTTCTTCTTTTTCACGTAAAAAGCAACAAAACAATAAAGCTTTTTTTGTTACTTCTGTCATGTTTTTCGGGGTCGAAGAAGAAGTGCCTTTTTACTTGTTTACTTCTACTGCGGAAAGGTGAAACAAGCAATAAGTAAAACTTCTAGTCCCATGAACAGTAAAAAGTCAAAACATCCATTGCTTTTTTACTTTGGGAGGTTATATTGTTTTACTTCCCCGTAAAAGTAAACGGCATCTTCCTCAGAGCAAACTTGTTTTACTTCAGACAGTTTTACTTTTCATGGGTCCAAAAGTTGTACTTTTTGTTTTTTACTTTTACCTGTCTCGGGGTACAAGTAAAGAAGTCAATCTACCTGAGTTGTAAACTGTCTTACTTTTGGGAGTTTTACGCATTTAGATTTGCCGGGAGCTTTACTTTGTCCTTTTGAGGTTCCAGAAGTTTGACTTTACTTTTTTTACTTTTAGCGGGGAACAGTAAACATCGGCAGACTCCCTACAAAAACAGCATTTACTTTTGGGAGTTTCACTTTTCATGGGGCCATAAGTTTTACTTTCGTTGCTATTGCATCTTGCTGCGCGTTATGGGCACAAGGAGGTGGTGCTTGCATTGCTTGGTGGAAGCTGGCACACACCAATGTCTGGCTGGCGCAGAAGTTGACAGCTGGCCATTCTTCGATGCCAGTGCTAACAAAAGCAAGGCTTCCAAGGTCCACACCTCAACACAGAATGGTCATGTGGAGCTTGCTCAACGAGGTTCCTTTCTGGACTCAGCAATCGGGCGATCTGACGCAACAGATTGCCCTTCTCCGTGAAGGGGGGGGGAGCCATTCCAGCTCGCTGCATGGAAGCGCGTTGTGACCGTTGACTCGGCTTTTTTCAACTTCGGATTTGGTGGGGGGTGACGCAATCCCGCACGCAGAGTTGCCTGGGGACACACCATCAACCAGAGCTTCAACAAGAAGCCGACCACCCTCCTTCCAATACTTCAGCTGGCGATCGCGGTTTGTTCAAGACGACTTTCCTTTTCAAGCCCCAAAACGATTGTCCACTTCCATGATTGGATGGGTAACCTCTGCGCAGATCCATTCGCGACGGAAAACCGAAACGAGGTCGCTGATCCCCTGGGATGAGGAGATCGGACCGATCTGTGCAACTTGAGACCAAGCGCGGCTGCAGAGAGACTCATACAAAGCTACAGAAAATTCTAAAAGCACGGATAGAAAGTCCTGGTCTCTTGGATAGACTCCTTGGAACTTCAATTTCAGGGCAACATTTCAAGCGTGCCTCCTCAGCCTGTGCATATGGTCAATCCAGATCCTCGAGTTTGCTGCTTTGACACAGGAACATTGTGAAATAAAACGGAACGGAAGTTCCAGGATGGTTGGGGGTTGTTGTAAGACTGTCGCTGGCTGCCCGTGCCGCTGCCAAGACTAAGCGGGGTGATGCCTTTGCTTCCTGGGCCATCCGGAGGGTTGCAACCTCATGCAGATTCTGCAATGCGGGGGCGCGTTTTTGTGTGTGTGTTTTTTCTCGGGATGTCGGCGCATGTTTTTCTTTTTCCCAAAATCATGGCGAAGGGTTCTTCCGGCCACATTCCCAGCGCACACACACCAGCGCACTTGCACGCGCAGTGGCACGAGCACGCTCGCACCATCGCACTTGCGCGAGCACATTCGCACGGGACGAGCTCACTTGCACGAGCACACCTGCAGTAGCACACTTGCACGATCGCACTTGCACGCCCGTTGGCTCGCTCGGAATTGGTCCCCGGTTGTTGGGTTTAGGGGAGCCAAAAGTGAAGCCATCCTTTGGGGCCCAATTTGAACAAAAACGGGTGGCCCGAAAGCACAACAGAACATACAGCGAGCGCGGCGTATGGTGTCCAACGCGGTCTTCGCTTTCGTGCACTGTGTGGAGTCCATCCGGGGCGCTGCAGAGATCTAAAAAAAATCATCAGTCGTACAAGTTTTCTTGCGCATATGCGCTCGTGCGAGTTTGCTCGTGCAAGCGTGCCGTTGCTTCGCGCACTCGCCCTGTGGTGGAAGTGTTCTTGGGAGGTTGCCCTGCGCAAGTACTCTGCGCAAGCGCTCTGCGCAGGCTGCTCGGCGCAGATTGCCCTGCGCAAGTTGCTCTGTGTCAGTTGGTGGTGTCTGCAAGTTCTCCATGCAAGTTGCTCTGTGCGAGCGCTTGCGAGTTTGCTCGCGCAAGTGCGCTCGTGCGAGTTTCCTTTTGCAATTGTTTGCACGTGTTCTTTCGTGCAACTTGCACTTGTGCAACTCGCTCTGCGTGTGCTCTCGTGCAAGTCGCTCTGCATGTGCTGTCGTGCAACATGCTCTGCAGGTGCTTGCAGGCAAGCGTGCAAGCGTGCCCTGCAAGTGGGGGCCCAAAAGGCGGCTTTGACCCGCGTGCCAGGAGACCGTCCTGGCCTCCGTCTCCAAGCCGGGGGGTCCAAAAGAGGCGTCAGTGTATGGAGCCCGCCCGCATCCAATGGGTCTTGTCTCCTTTGGTGTCCCTTTAAAACGACCACACAAGGGGTACCCCTCGCGCCCTGGTGTTCATGGTATTTTCCTTAAGAGCCTTTCTCAGAAATGGGCCGCGGGCAGTGAGGGTTGCCGAGCTGACCCTTTGGCTCATCCAAAGTGATTCCTGGGTTGCGGAAGGTGTCCCTTTTGTAGTCCGAAACAAGGCCCTGTGCGGCCGGACATCTGGAATGCGAGCTTCATGCCCATTTCCTCAGGGTACCCCACAGAAATGTGTGCGAAGCAAGGCTCGTTACTTCCATGCGTCCAATGTGGCGCCAATTTGATGCCTGTCCAAGGAGTGTGCTGCTCTTCCCTTGGATCTCCCACTGACATGGAGCCCACAAGAAGGTCCCCGGAAAGTTGTCTGACAGGGACCAGTCAGCTAGCGCCACGCCCCGGCGCGAATGCAAGCAAGGACGGGGCGCTGCGTATGGCCCCAAGTGCTGGGGGGGGGGGGCGGGGTCGGTGGTGGCCATGCGGAGGGTTTGGGGCGGAAGGCTTCCAATGCCAAAAGGGGGATGACAATTTCCATGTGACTCCCAAACCTAAGCTGCTTCCGTTTGATTTAAGCATCCAGAAGGGCGGCCCTTTTGTTGGAAATGCGCATGGGTCGAAATGAGGAGGCCCCTGTGGCTTTAGATCTACTTGCAAAATGCATGGAGCTGAGGATTTCTCAGTTTTGACCCCACGGTCTTGTGATGGCTGGATGAATGGCATGGCTGGTGCATCGCTTTTTTTGATTGGCAGGCGTCAGAGACGGGTCATATTCCTTCTAACCGCACTTGTCTATATGATCCAAAACCAACGGAGCACTGGAGTTGAGTCGATGGACCTATGGCACACATCTGTTTCCTCGATGGGTGCCGCCCACATGTGAAGCTGGCCAGTGAGATCCTGTACAATCTCATTCATGAGTCGCGCAGAAGTGGAACATCAAGCACTGCGATGTGTATTGCAACATGAGAAGGAGTGGTCTGAAGGGCAGATCCTTGATTCCGCCTGCAACGGGAACGTAGTGGGTTTGTCTCCTCACGAGGGACCCCCGTTGTGTTGAGCACCTGCCGGTGAGACAACCGCCGGGCCAGCCGGGTGGGGGTCATCTCTCATTTTTGGTCCGATTCGGAAGGCAACATGAATCGGATGCCAAGTGGGCCTCGAGTTTGGATGCAAGCCCGGGCTTGTCTCCGAATCAGAAATTCCCAGAGGGTTTTCCTTTAAGCCTCCCTCAACCCAAGTTTCACAAGGGTAATTACCTCCATCTCAACCTACAAAAAGTTTGGTACCAGTCCCACTTTCAGGCGTGTTTTTCTATATTCTTTTTTTCCTCAAGTTGGGTCCCACAAAAAGGAACATGGCTCGTGGGATCCGAAAAAGGAAAGCCGCGACCGAACCCGAGCGGCGAGCGCACCGCTGGCCCAGGTGGTGTCCCATGAGGCGCCCAAGACCAGCGGCTTCGGCGCCGAGTTGGCCTCCACGGTGCCCGGAGCGCTCAGCTCCGAAGCTCCGAAGGGCGCGCTGCGCGGCAGCGGGGGTTCGATTCGGGCGGGGTTTGAAGGTTCACAGCTTCACCCCGGTGAACTGATGGGTGGCTGGTCTTGTTTTGTGCTTTTTTGGTGTTGCTACGCCTTGTTGGTAGGTTTTTCAAGGGAAACCCAAAGGATTGAATGCCTACAAAAGTCGAGCCACCCACATAGCAAGTCAAAAGATCCAGTTTGGTGGATTTCTAGATGTTTGATTTCAGCCAATGTGTGATAGATAGGCTGCGTTTCCCTGCGATTGAACAGGACTGCGACTCATGAGTGGGAGGCGCTGGTCTAAGTTGGAAACGTTGTTTTTGCCCACTAGCAACCTCAGGGTGTTTCTTACTACGAACATGTGTGTCACAATCAATCAAAGCACGGGTAGACCAAGGTTAAATAGTAAGGGACAGTCCCAACCATAGGTGCGAATATCCGCCCTTGGCTCGCAAGTGCGAAGCACGTCCAAAGCCACCGGGCATGGGCACTTGCCCTGCAGGCAAATTTTTGTTGGGCTCATCCTGTAGAACAGTTGGACTCCGCCCGAAGTGCAGGATTATTAGTTGGCACACGAGGCGCCCGCGATACAGTTGCATGACGTGTTCCATTCAGCCGTTGAAATGACAATTACAGGGGGGTTCGTGCCATCGCAGCTTCAGAGGTCCCGAAGCCCACGAGGGAGGAGCTCTTGAGATTCCGTGGCTTAAGGTATACCCCGATCTCCTGAAGCCTGGGGTTTGGGGAAGGGGGTGTTTACGGTTCCAAGCGCGATCGTGAGGCAGGAGCGTTGCTTCTTAAAGCTGGAGGCGGGACCAGGTTCGTGGGCAGAACGAGGCCCCTTTGAGGACCCGGACATTTTGTGCCTTACAAAATCCCTATGACTGGCAGCTGACATCGATCCCTTGTGACGCCATTGATTTGCTGTTGTTCTAAAACTTCAAGAAATATGGGCCAAAATCTACACATGTCATTAGCTGGGCAAAAACATAACACAACCGCGGCTGAAAAGCACCATCTTTCGGCTGGACATCACTCGGTGAAAGCTGAACTCCGGAAAACCGCATATCACATGTACATATATATATATATATATATACAGCGTATTTTTTTAAGTGTCGTAGTTCCAGCCGGAGAAGCGCAATGTCACGGCGAAAACTTGAAAAAACAAAAAAAACAACCACACAACACACGAACATTCGAAAACGTGAAAATTCGAAAAGCATGAAAATTCAACAAACAAAAAACAAAACATATGCACAAAAACTATGAACACGCAGTTTGCGCGAACAAATGTGCAAAACTCGAAAATTCGAAGCTTTCCAACCTTGCGCAAATTTCAGGCCCCACCTCAAAATTCAAGAGCGTGACACCAAGCACGCAAACATGTCACAGAAAGCAAATGCAACAAAGGCCTATATGCAAATGTTAAGGAGAGTTAAAATCGATCCAGGGGATTCTGTTTTGGTGCTTCCTGGCAAAAGAAAAGACCACTACCGCCATCAGCTTTGCCATGGAACCAGAGAAATGGCCCCGTTGTTGGGAGGGTACAACGGAGTTTCCCACCCTCTCCTAGGAAATCGCTGGTGGCATTGCTGTGGTGACTGGGATTTACTGTAGAATGTTGACCCAGATTGATTCTGCTTGCTTAGTTCGCATGCTTAGCAGCGACATGGCCACGTATCCTTCAACTGACCCTGGACAACCAGGCGGTTCTACTGGTTTTACATAAGACGCTGCTCTGTCCCCAGTGGCCGAGAGAGCTGTGTGTGCACTTGGGTCATACAAGTCTGCGAAGTGGAAACCTCAACGGCCACCCCGACAACTTTACTGTGCGATATGTTCGTGACGTGCGCAAAACGGATTTTGAAATCGAAAACGCGAAAACGCGAAAACCGCGAAAATGGAGAAAACAAAGCGAACACCGCGAAAACCACGAAAACGGCAAAAACCGTGAAAACCACGAAAACGGCGAAAACCGCGAAAACCGCAAAACTGTGAACGCGCGAAAACCCACGACAGCGGTTAAAACAGTGAAAATGCCAAATCTCGCACGTTTCCTCAATGCCAACTTTCATGCGACAAAACAGTTTGAAAACGCGGCAAACTCATCCCATATTCTGTCTGTCCATTAATCATCTATGTATCTATCTATGTATCTATCTATGTAACTATCTATCTAATCTATCTATCTATCTATCTATCTATCTATCTATCTATCTATCTATCTATCTATCTATCTATCTATCTATCTATCTATCTATCTATCTATCTATCTATCTATCTATCTATCTGTCTATCTCTATCCAACTATCTATGTATCTATCTATCTATGTATCTATCTATGTAACTATGTAACTATGTAACTATGTAACTATGTAACTATGTAACTATGTAACTATGTAACTATCTATCTATCTATCTATCTATCTTCCAGGGCCTGGCCCAAAAAACATCGTTTTATGTTTTAAAATGCTAAGTTCAACACTCCCTGCGTTGGCATGTGGAAACCAGTTTAAACCAACCATCGCAAACTGCGCTTGTTCTTTTTTTTTGAACAAAGCATTCTCGAAGGGCCAGGCGCCTTCCCTGGGCCCTATAGTTGATGCTTGCGGGGGCACAGGCGAACTTCATTCGCGACAAGCGGCCCGCGAACATAGCCGCGGTGCAAGATGGCGAGCAGATCCTGTGCCGGATCTCGGAGAACTTCAATCAGCGCAAGAGAAAGTGCAACTTGTTTGCAGCTAAGGGTTGCTTGCCATCACAGCAGTGTGGACTTTGTGGGCACCGTGACACATTAAGGGGGCAGCCGCTGGTGAGCGCCGGTTCTCTTTGGATCTTGCCAGCCCAGACGACCTTTGCGAGTGTTTGCTGACATTTGGGGCTACACTTCAGGCTATCCTGATTTCCCAAGACAACATGCCCCACACAGCTCTTCCAACCTTAGAATGGGTCAGCAAGTGAAGCCGCTTAGGTTCTGGACTTTATTTGGGCGCAACGTGGCTATGAGAAATAAGAGGAATCTAAAAAGGATCAGGGGAAGCGCTGGTGAAATCCAGAAAAGCTTCTCAAGCAAGTCCAGCTCAAGCCCGGCGCGCGCAAATAATTAAAAGGCCCTTTTTTTCTGTCAAGTGCTCCGACATGTGCGTGGGCCACCTGCACCTGCCTGCCAACCGGAAATAAAAGAAAGGGAGCGCGCCAGTGTGTGCTGCAAGCTCTGATTGCACATGCGACATTCCTGCCTTGCAATTCTAGCTTGTTGCGTTTGCTCGTCTGAGGCTTGAACGAACCTTCCACACCTTGCCAGGCCAAGGAGGGCAAGGATGGGAGGCACAGGAAGTTGTGCAAAGGAGGGGCCCTTGCACAAGCATTGGGTCGCTGGTGTGTTCTGATTAAAGGCTGCTGCTGAATCAAATTCGGCGCCCCAGCAATGAGCCTGACCCACCCTGGCAAGCGAGCTCAATGCCCAACAATGCTTCGCACAAAGCAGTTGCTAAAACAAAACGCACCTTGGCGCGCTGTGGCTGTTGGCCTTTTGCATCAAATGGGGAAATACGTGGGACTGAAGAGCGAACAGGGTGGATATGAGAGACACTGCGTGTCGAAATGACGCGCAACTGTTGTGAATTTTCTGAATTTTCTGCATCAAGTGCCATGCGAGCGGACCATAAACAGCAAATGCCATGAAAAAGATGTTGAAGTTTGTGTCTTGGGGTGCGAATGTTCAGTTGCGCATGGACTGGTACGTTCTGGGCCACAATGATGATTCAGTCGTAGCTTGTGAAACTGCTTCTCAGTAGCATGGCGGGGCATCCCTGAATGAGGAATCTAGAGGGGAGACATGACAAAACAAACGCAAAGCCACACGCTAGCTGGCTCAAGACACGCAAGTCTATCTATCTATGTATTTATTGATCGTATCTATCCTATCTATCCTATCTATCCTTTCTTTCCTATCTATCCCATCTATCCTATCTATCCTATCTAGATATAATATCTGTAAAGCCGTTCATACCTGTCCTCTTTAACTCAGTATTTCTAGCTTATCTAGAGCGTCCATCTTGATAAGTATCATCACAATATATCGTATCTACCTTGTCTATCATATCCATCATATCTATATTATGTACCTTATCTATCTTACCAACCTTATCTTATCTTATTCTATATTATCTGTCGTATGCTATCTTAGCCTATCTGTTCCTGTCGTATCCTAGCTTGTCCTGCATTATTCCTTTCTTATTCCATTTATTTCATGTTGGCCTAGATTGTCGTGTCTTATCCTGTCTTCGCCTATCTTATCCTATGTACCGATCAATCTATGTGTCGATATACCTACTCTATCTTATCCTGTGTTATCCTACCCTCATCCTGTCTTATCCCATCTAATCCTATTTTCCGATCGTATCCTACCAAATCCTGTCGTATTCTATCTTATCCTGTATTCGCCTTACTATCCTCTCTTGTCCTGTCTTATCCCGTCTTATCCTCTCTTGTCCTATCTGAGCGCATGTTATCCTACCTTATCTTGCATCGTGATATATGTTCCTACCTTATCCTATCCGTTCCTATGTATCTAAAGATCTATCTACCAACCTACCCACCTACCCACCCACCTACCTATTCGATCATTTCTATCTATATCAATCTTATTCAACCGTATCTATCTGATATATCTTATGTATCACATCGATTGTATATCTACCTTGTCTTTTCTTATCATATATTACCCTCCATTAACCTTGCCTAACTTACCTTTTCCTGTTCCATCCTATCTTATCCCATCGTATCCTATCTTACCCTGCCTTTCCCTATCTTATTATATCTTATCTCATATCACCCTATCTGATCCTATCTATCTATCTATCTATCTGTTTACCTATCTACCTACCTATTCTATTTATCCTTGCATCGTGTGTAGCTTATGACTTCATCTACCTTATCTACCTTGTCTATAATGTCTATCCATCTACCTTGTCTACCTTACCTACCTCTATAGTATCCTGTCTGAGCTTCCTTAGCGTATGTTATCCTATAATATGTTATCTTACCATGGCTTGTTCTAATTTATCCTACCTTACTCCATGTTGGCCTATCTTACCGTGACATATCCTATATTATCCTGTTGTAGCGACTCTTATCCTATGTGTATATCTATCTTTCTACCCACACCAATATATACATAGACGTATTATATGTCATGTGTATATATATATATGTACCATCATCTATCAGCCCTTGGAATCCTATCATACCGTGCCTTATGCTGTCATATCCTGTCCTATCTTACCTTGCCCTATATTTCTCAACTGATCCTAGCGTATTCTACCTTATCCCATGTATCTATGTATCTATGTATTTATGTATCTATGTATCTATGTATCCATGTATCTATCTATCTATCTATCTATCTATCTATCTATCTATCTATCTACATATCAATTTATCCATTTCTGTGTTTATCAATTTATCTATCTATTTCGTTCTATCTACCTAGACACCTACCTATCTTGTTCTATCTTATCTGCCTGATCTCTCTTATGTGCCTTATCTACCTTGATTATCATACCTACGATATCTATACTATCTACCTTATCTATCTTGCCTACCTTGTCTTATCATAAATTGTCCTGTCTGATCTTACTTGAACCTATGTTATTCTGTCTTATCCTGTCTTATCCTGTCTTATCCTATCTTATCCCACGTTGTCCCATCTTACCGTGCTATGTATCTATCGATTTATCTATCTATCTATCTACCTACCTATCTTATTTCTATGATCGCTGGGGCTCAAAACGCAAGGCCATTAAGCATAACAACGGAAATTTGCAGCGAACACCTGAACATCGCGAAAACCCGAAAACCGCGAAAACCGTGAAAACCGCGACAACCGCGAAAACAGGAAAATCACGAAACACTGCGAAAACCATTAAACCGCGAAAACCAGAAAACGCGAAAACTGCGAACACCCGAACATCGTGAAAACCCTGAAAACGCAAAAGCTGCGAACCGCAAGTATGGGAGAGCGGTGAAAAGGCGCAAGCTTCAAGATGAAGGCGAAAGCCACGACAGCCAGCAGGTTTTCGCGGTTTTTATCGGTTTTTTGCTTTCTCGATTTTCTCGGTTTTCCGGTTTTCTTTCCGATTTTCTTGGTGTTCTCGCTTTTTGAGTTTTCTCGTGTTTATTGCGGAAACCGTGCGGAACAACGTCGCCAAATACGATTGCTTAGTATATATATATATATATGTATACACATATATACATTTTTCCCCAACAGCTGAAAGCTTTGGGGTCGCAGGCCAGATAGGCTTCGGGGTGGTCCAGGGCGGCCCCGAGGTAAGGTTCCACGAGGGTTCCAGCAGGGTTCCGCGAGAGTTCCACGAGGTTTTGCGAGGGCTGCGGGAGGGGCGAGCACTAAAAGGAGCACTGCACGCTGTTGGGGATATCACCTGAGCTTGTTATATGCCCACATTATTTTTTTGGGGGGGCCCTAAAAGAGACACACCCTTATGGACTTTGTGGGTATCTTGGGGGGCCTTTTAAGCACCATGGGACATCCAGCAAGCCGCTGGTTCTTTACATGGCGACCTGTCAGAACTAGCAAGGGGTCCGGTTAAGACACTCCTATCGATATAGCTGTTTGAAGCCATTTCCGTAAAAATCCTTAGTGCCTTCTCTGCAGAACGATATGTGCGTGATTGAGTTGGAGTTGGGCTGAGGCTGTGAAAGACGCTTTGGCCATGAAACACTCCTAATTGGACCCCGACTGAAGTTGAACCCCTGGTTTTGGTTGATTTGTGGGGGGGGGGTGAAGTGTCCCCCTTTTAGTGGCGATTCATCACTAGAGGGGAACCATCCTTTTTCAAAAGGACCGAGATGCCCTAGAAGCGCTGGGATGAACAGGAACGCCGACCACCGCTTTTTCTCTGCACGAGGGTTCCAGTGCACCAATTCGATGGCCTGACTGGCTGGTAAAACCGGCTCGCGCATGAAGGGTCTTTGTTGGCGGCTTACCTTATGTACTATTTGGGGTTATGATACCCTCCTGTCCATTAACGTGGAACCTGGTCCAAACCTGAACGTCAGGTTCCATGTTAATTGGTGGGAGGGAAATACACTGGCTCACCCATGAAGGTGCTTTACTGGAGGCGTCCAGGCTTCCCTTAGGTGCTGATTGGAAAGTTATAGTGCTACATCGGCGCACTTTGGAGTGAATCCATCGGCCTGGAACCAGATCGGCAGGCGCCTGTGCATCGGGTGTGTGGCTGGGCGTTCGCCTCAGCTCTGAAATCCTAAGGTTTTGAGTGTCACATGTGGGTGTCGGTCTCCTTTCTTAGGGGTCCCCGTGTTTGGTCGGTATTTTTACAGGGAGATCAAGAGGACATCCATCATTCTAGGGGTCAGAAAGCACACCACCCAAAAAACGACACACCCATGTTCAAAAGGGCATAGTTTGCCAAAGCAATTGGCAGAGGAGAAACGTTCCCGCAGTCAGATGTCGCCTTGCAGTATTGGATGCTCTTTGCCAGACTCAAGTGTCCCTTTTGCATCTCTTTGCCGTTTCCTTTGCTGGTGCTAGGGAATGACCGAGTCAGGGCCTGGGTGTTGGGAATGAACAAGTCGGGAGTCCCTTAAAAAATACACACACATAAGCAAGTCATGTCGCCTAGCAACAAGTTAAGTTGTTGCAAGAGCTCGCAGTTTGGCCAAGTCTACATTCGCCCAGGACACGCCCTTCCCCTTGGCCTACGAGGAGTTTTACCTGCCCACTCCGCTGCGGGTGCGCTTCTTGCCAGTAACCCCAAAACGGATTTCGGTTGTCTACACCCGTGTTACACCTAGCTTGCTGGGGCAAAAGAAGACCACCGGGATATGGACCGCGGGTTGTAGTCCTCTCCATCCACCAGGGCATTCATTTTGGGGTTCCCTGGACGACACGGTGGCCGGGGTCTGGGTTTGGCGAATTTTCCCGCCAGATCAACCCCGAAAGGGGGTTCCCTTCAAATTCCTGTGACTCTGCGTCTTCCGACCTCCCTTCGTCAGGTGCCATGGCAGAGGAATTACGTGGGTTCCCTTGGTTTACCCGTATCCTGTTTGCAAAATCCCTTTTTAAACTTTGCACAGATGGTCCACCAAGCTTGGCAAGCTTAGGGTTCACTGGGCGAGCCTACCCGGAAAGGGGGGGCGCTGAGTTGATTGGTGGTAGGCACCTGGCTAAGTCCAAGACCAAGCAAGCTTGCCAACCTAGGATTCTGACCCAGGAATTCATTCTTAGCCCGTTGATTTCGAGGCTGTAACCCAGGGAATTGTCCCTTTTTTTTTGCTCAAAAATCAATGGCAGTGGTTTCCCTTGTTGTTTGGGGCTGCGGAAAATCGGATGAATTCCCTTGCTCTCGCATCGCCTGCTTTGCCAGGTCCTGGATACCGTGAAGAAGATCCTGGAGTACTAAAGTGTGCGAAATCGCCGGAAAACGGAACGCAGAAAATTTCCGGCGGCGTTTCCCCAAGCTTTGGTGGCGTTGCGTTCATAAAGGTATACTCCTATCGTTGGAAACGATAATCCCGCACAGTGCACATGGATCCTGTTATTTTCTTTTTCCGTTTGGATTATAAGGATTGTATTGACAATGTGTTGTGTAAATCCACTCTCAAGATCCAAGATGCTTGTGGATTATATTTGTTGATATGGATTTTAACATATTTTTCATTTCAATTAATTTTAGATATATTAATAATGATATTATTGAAAAATTTGTTGATTTGTTACGATATATATTTATAGATTTGATTGTTTTGATAATATTTTATTCATAATGATTAAATTATATAATGGAGAAAAAAAAAGATATATATTAAAATTGTGTTTAATTTATTTGAATTATATTTTTATTTTTTATTTTTTATAAATTGACTTATGATGGTTATTGGAATTTTGGAAAAAAATATGTTTTTAGAATTAAATTTAATTTAGAAATTAAATATTTTTGAAAATAATAATTCTTTTTATAAATTGATATAATTTTGGGATTGTATTTTTAAAATATTATGGAATTTTTAAACTGATATTTTGACCGAATTGTTGTATATCTAATGATTGTTCTTGTTTTTTAGCTTTTAATTGGTTTTTAAGAATTATATTGTTTGATTTGTTTTATATATTTTTTTATTATTATTGTTTTTTTTTGTTTATTATTTTTTTTTTTTTTATTTTTTTTATTTTTTTTTTTAATTTTTTGTTTTGTTTTTTGTGACTTTGTAGTTGTATTAAAAAAAAAAAAAGGTTTTGCTTTTGTTGTTGTTTTTTTTTGTTGTTTTTGTTATTTAATTTCGTAGTAGGTATTTATGTTGTGGATTTTGGGAAAGAATTTTTATTTTATTTGTTTTTATGAAATATATGTAAAAGAAATACATAAAGGTTTTGATTTATTTTTTTGGATTGTTATTTGTTATTAATTAATATTTATTTGTTAAGTTTTATATTATTTACTAATTCCTAATATAAATGTTCGATTAATTATTATAATTTCGAATTTATTTATATTTTTTTTTTTTTGCTTTTTAATTTATATAATATAAATTCAAGTAATATAGATCCCAAATAGTCGTGCGGCAGCATTTGTTGTAGCTCTCGACTCAATGTGGCTACTTAATCGTATTGTAATATAGGTTATATTGTAATAATATAAGTCGTAATATAATAATTTATACATTATTATGATTATGCAAGTTGCATAATTATGATGTTGGCAATTTTATTCTAAGGCAGGCCGCATCCTAATAATATAGCCGAAGCCACGCTAATGCAAGGCATCGAAACATGATAAAAACGGCATCATAACTACATATGCAAAATCATAATAATATAGACATTACTGAAATAATTTAGCATACTATAACATAATATAATCGTATTAAATTCATGTAACGACGCCATCGCAATCCAGATTACATTATCAAGATGCAAGTAGCGCATCGTGAGCGCATAAGCAACGTCATAAGAATGCAAACAATATCACATTTCATTCTATGATAGAGAATGCATTACCAAAATATATGTGGCAATGCGATAATTCCGGCAACATTATGTTGATGTTAATCGCCCGCTAATAAAGGAGGAATAACGCAGGAAATATAGGCATAGCACAAGCCGCATCACAATAATGCAAACAACATCATTATTAATATCATAATCATGCAATCTATGATAATTATTATTATCAGCATTTAGTGTTATAATGACATAGACAAGGGCGCTACTAATACAAAATACAAATAAAGAATAATTAACTTTACACATGTAACACGGGTCATATTATACTGCTATATCTACATCATAATAATACAGGTCGTATGTCATAATAAGATAGGCCGCGTAATAATATTATAGGCCGTAATAGAATGACGTAAGCGCCATCATAATGTTGCAAGCCGTATTCGTGCAGAGTATTTGGCAGCGCAAACCGAGCTAAGCAAACACTTAATAGATTCGTTAAACTACTTAGCCGCGCGCTTGGAGAGGCGCGCAGAGCATTTAGCAGCGCGAGGCGAACTGGGAGATATATATATTCATTCATTTATTAATCGCCCGCTATCGAGAGGTATACAAATCAAAGCATCTGGCGGCACGTGATACCCCTTTGTTCGTTACGTAAGCTATCCGCCGCCTAGACAGAATCCCGAGCTGGGGGACAAATGAATTCAATTATTAAATAGTTGTCCGGAGTGTAGAGCATTTGGTAGCACTAATCAAGCTGGGAGATAAATGAATTCGTTTACCCGCCCGAGAAGCGTATAGAGCATGTAAATAATATAAACTAAACTAAAAGATAAATGAATTCGTTTACTAAGCCGCCGTGCAGAGCATTTTTACGTTAACTACTACACTAGGAGACAAATGAATTTGTTTACGAAGCCGGCGCGAAAATAGACAGATAGAACATTTAGGAAGCTCGGAGAAAATTAAAGATTGTCTATTAAATTAATCGCGCGAGAGGCGTGTAGAGTATCCGCCTTAAACCAAACTAGGAGACAAATAGTTTGTTTATTAAGCTGGCCGGTCAGAGAGAAATGAATTTGTTTAAGCCGACCGGTCGGAGAAGCGTACAAAGCATTTAGTAGCTCGAATTAAGCTAGAAAATGAATAAATTCATTTAACTAACCGCCTGCCCAAAAGGGCATACAGAGCATTTGGCAATACTAATCCACAAAAAAATAAATATATTTAATCGCTCGCCCGGAGAAATATATATAGCGTAATTATCAACGTTCACTAAATTAGGAGTGTGTAAAACATCTAGCAATACTAAGCAAACAAAGAAACAAATAAATTCGCTTACTAAGCCGGCCACCCAAAACAACGTACAGAATATCTAACAACTCCCAATCAAAAATAAACATATATTCCTTAAATTAATTAGGAATCCCTATAACGAAATTATTTAGGAAATACATAATATATTCCTTTAATTCATATAAAAATATATTATAATTCTTAACAAAATATATAAACTCAAACGATATCTCTAATAATATTGTACCCACCTTACCGCCGGTTTTGCTTAGGATATCGCCCTATAATTTATAAAGCAAAGCTAAGAGTGACAGCGTAATCGCGCCCTAATCGGGGCCCGACGGCGTAATCGGGACCTAATCGAGGCTCGATAATGCAATCGGGGCCTGAGACGGTGCAATCGAACCCGACCGGGTGCCCGATAGTCCCGTGGTGCAAGCGGACTCCTGTGCGTCCTAGCTGCCCTTTTTATAACAATATCGGTTTTCGACTAAGCACGAGGGTTTTATTCTGATATTATTATTGTTAGGTTTTGTGATGGTTACGAGGAGATATGGGGAGTTTTACGAGGTTTGTGTTAGGATTATATTAAAAATCTATTATGGTTGTGGGGTGGTTTCGGGTGAGGTTTTATTAGGAATTTATTAAGGTTTTATTCGGGTTTTATTGGGGTTGTATTAGGTTTTGCGATGGTTGTGTGGTGGTTTGGGGGTTTAAGGTAAGATTTTCTTAAAATGATTTGGGATGGTTTGGGAACATATTTTATGATAATTGTATTAGGGATCTATTATGCTTTGTAAAGTAAAATTATATAATTGATTTTATAGGGCTTTAATAAAATTCTATTAGATTTTTATATAATACAATATTTTCTCATAAATTTACTATTTTTTGGGTTATATTATTAAACTAATTAAATAAATAAAAATAATAAAATAATTGTATTTAAACATTTTAATTTCGATCTATTTATTATTCATATTAATAATAGTAAAATAACGAATATAACTAAAAAAAACCTCACCTTGAAGAAATTATCCTATAACCCTTACTATCCATAAAAACAATTTACGAAATTTACCAGGCCAATCCAAAAAATAACCCGTTAATTCGATCAATGACAATACCAACAAAAAACAAATATAGCACACGGCAACGCGAAAATAAATCATTTTTGTGATCCAATCCATAAAAATAACACAACCAAATAAAAAATAAAACAATTAATAAACATAAATAAACAATATCAAATAAACAAACACAAACATACAAAAAAACCAAACAAACAATTAATATATATAATCATATAACAATAAACTAAAACAAATCAAAAAAACCCTAAAACAAAAAGAAACAAACAAAAACAAAACACAAATAAACACAAATTACGAAATACATAAATACAAATATACCTAAAAAAACAAAATATCCAACAATCCAAAAGCCATATCATCAACAACGACCAACCATTCGAAAGAAAAACAACGAATTTATCTCAAATAAATTCAATATATTTAATTATATATTTAAAAACTAGTTTTATAAATATTTTACTTATAATAAATTAATTTGTATATTCGATTAATATAATAATTAAAAATTATTTATTTAACATATATTAATTAAAATAAATATATAATATAAAATTTCGACATATTTTTAATAAATTTCAATAAATAAATTTATATTTTATTTATTCATCTATTTATTTATATCATATATCTATATCATTATTTATTCATTAATTCATATATCCGAATATTATATATATATATATATTTGTTACAAAATATAACATTAAAAACATCAATTAAGGTTTTTCCTTAGAATATATTAACAAATAGAAATAATCGAATTTAATTTATAAAACAAATCAAAAAACATTTTACAAACACGGGAAGATATAAAAAATACAAGCGATATATAAAATATAAAAACTACCGAAAACGCCGACGATGCTAACAATGCAACCGGGTTGTTGCATATTTATATTTAGAATAATTTGAGTTTTCTCCCCCAATTCGAGCTCCAGGTCGTGCGGGCGGTGATGATGAACCAAAGGCGCTAGGCATACACTAAATATTTTTTACTTTTTACTTAAATATTTACTTAAATATTAACTAGGCCTCCGCTTGCCCAAATTGCACCCCAAGAACAATGTAAGAACGATTGAACACAGGGAAGTGAATGTAACAAGGCGAAGCATGCTACACAAGAGCGAACGTGCTACAGCTGGGACTCAGCTCGAGCCATGTCAGCACACCTTCGCCCAATCTGCTCAACGCTCTGGCAACCTACAAGTATCAACTGCAGCAAGAATCAACTGCAGTAAGAATCGTACATAGTGCTCACTCATGAACAACACATACACATCCTCATCAAACTCTCAAAACATTTCGACGTGTATGCGCGCAAGCCCAGCATTTGTCCTTCGCAAGCGTTGCCTGTCTGTACAAGTGTCAGGCCCGAGCAATGGAGCTCTATACAAAGAGGCAGCGATGGTGGCTCTCATTGAAACAAACAACTTCTGATAAGGATTCATGAAACATTGGGCCATGTGTTTGTGTTTGCGCAGCTTCGAACCATTCCGGGCCATTCTGCAGTTACGTGTGCATTTCTTCAAGCGAAAACCAACGCATGGCGCCTCGGAAACCGAATGTATACGGTGATAGGCGTTGAACAGTGCAGTTGGAAGGACAACACAGGGTCACAAGTGCCCAAAAGAACATGCATCACATTTTTTTCTGGGAAATTCAGTATCTCCCTGCTATCCCTCGCCGTGGACATGGGCCACACATCTTTTCTAACCAAACCTCACAGGAGTCTGCAACGAGCACATCATCGCGATGCCAAACGAGCTCCGCTGCATGTGAGCGATACTTTTTTCTCCCCAAAGCGCCACGTCCTGAACGCCGACATTTTTGGTTCTCTCCGATGGTCCCTTCATGTAATCAACCCCCATGTGGTTGTGCCTTGGAATTCTTCTCTTTGGATCTCTTTAAAACAGCCCCGGAAAGACCGCACTCAATAAATGAAACCGCACCGTAAAAGCCACACAAAGTGAACCAATGGCTACAACCAAGCTTCCCTCGGTGAATAACATTTGCCTGCTTCAAAGACGAACACGTCCCAAAACAGGGCAGCAGAAGTAGTTTTCAACACGGCCAAGGGTTGCGTTTAAACAAAACAGGGCTCTCTTTGTTTCCCCACCAACAGGAGACTCATCTCAAACCGGCGAGATGTTGCGCTGGGTTTCCAGGTTAGGAATGGACAATTGAACTACAAATTGCTCCCTTTTGATTCGGAGAAATTCGCCCTGGGTTGTGTCAACGTGGTAGCCCTGACCCACTCCTGGCAACACGCCCTTCGTCTCAGTCCAAGGAGATGACGTCACTCTTGCCTTCAAGGACTTTTATGTTGGCTGAGACGCCCATGAGATGCCGGTGCCAGCTGGTAAAAAACCCTTGCAGATGTGGACCCTCCCTTTAAAATCAATTGAGGGTTGGGGTTGTGGGGATGGAACTGAACTATGATACTGAACTGAACCTGATTACCTGAGTTCCTGGACTTTGCACTTAGGAAGAACATGTTGTGTGGTGATGTTTTAAAGTGAGCTGCGTTGAAGTTCAACGAAGGTCGCCAAACCACCAATTGCAAACCCAGCAATCCAAAGCAAAAATGGGTGAGGACTTCTACATTGGCGAGAGTTGAGCCTTGTGTGCCATGTCCTTTTGGGCCATTCGCTCAGATGCAATGGTTGTTCAAGGCTAATCCCGAAACCCTGTGTTTGAGATCGGTTCTTGTCCATATGTTCCGAACAAGCAAACAAAACAAGCAGGCGCAGCTAGAACCATGGTATATTACTCGGGCGCTTAGCACATAAGATGCGCAGGACTTTTCCTCCAAGGAACTCATAGGGAGCCCTATTTTCACACGTGCGGGTGATTGTGAAGATGATGGATTGGTTTTCCACTGCCCACTTCCTCCGACCCTCCTCCAATGATTTCCTATTTGGCCTTGTTCATCTTCTTTCTCAAAGAATTCCCTAACCCTTTGGCGAGAGAACCATTCGTGTACCTTTGTTTGGTGACCACAAACGCGTAGCCCGCTAGAGTGTGCACATGAGCCACTTTCAAAACCTGATGGTTGCAGGAGACACTCCCAGCCATAGGCTCCGCGTTCTTGAAAGGTCCGCGGCGGGCCATTTGAATACAAGGTTGTGAGTTGACCCACCGGCCCAGGTAAGGAAGATCCTGTGGAAGGGAGGCTTGCTTCAAGGCAACCCAGGCATCGACAGCAGCATCATGCTCCTTCGGCTGAACTCGACGGAACTGTTGCTTCATCATGTGTGTGTGTGTGTTTCTTTGCGTATTTTTGCGTATTTAATTTGACGCGGGACATATGTTTGAAGAAGCTCCACTGTATTTGTTCCTGTGAGTCCCTGAGTGTACCAGGCAAGAAGAGAACATCCTTCAGTGCCCAAAATCTCCATTGGCCATTTTTGGTAGGTGGTTCAACTGGCTGGTTTCATTGTGTGGGTTATAGTAAGTGCTACATTAACGTTCATAACCATGCAGTAGAACCACTAGCTAATGGGTTTTAGGCGCTGCTCATTTGGTTTGATGGCAAATAGCTTGATATATGTTTTGCTACTATGGTGCGATAAGGCGGCAACTTGGGAAGGCTGCTTCAAAGAGGTCCAAATTTGGGTGCAACCACACTGATTGCGGCTATTTTCAACCACTGCCCCGAAAGGACATGACTCCCGAAGCGAGTCATTGACAAGATTATTGTCGGGTGATCGGGTTGCAAGGGTGTAGTTAGCCATGGTCTATCGGGAGCATTGGAAACAAGGGCACCCTTGCAAGCAGCTGGGTGGGTGGTGGGGTGGGGTCCTCATGTCCTCGCCAACAGTTGATTTGTGATGTTGTCCGTTGCTCAGAGCGTCACGAACCGCAGTCATGATCATCTTTTGGATCCCGCGAGGTTGACGTGACTCGCCCAACGATTTGCGGCTTTGCCTTGAATCAAGCACTTTCTGTTTGGCGTCGGACTTATGCTTCTGAGCGGCATCAGTCGCTTTGGCAACAACAATACGACTCGCTTGACAGAATTCTGGCGGCCTCCTCGCTCTCTCTCTCTCTCTCTCTCTCTCTCTCTCTCTCTCTCGTTCTTGCTATGAAGGACTAGACACCATCAGAGCGCAAAACTTGCAAACCCGAGATCAACATAGAAGAAACGCTAAAACATAGATGTTCTTGGTATCAACTGATCCTAGTAAACCATGATGATCCACGCGTTTTCACATCCTTATGCCGAAGGCTGCCATCTATCATCTTCGGAACAAGAGAACACATGCCCCTCGGGAGGTGCTGTAAGAACCCCTGGATGTGGTGTCTTGTTGGTGTGTACCCCTTTTGAAATTGCCTGAAAAGAACACTAAAGGGGACACCGAACTCCATGTCCGGGGGGTTTTCCTATTAGAAGATTCGTGCTGCGCCCGCGTGACCACGTGACATACGTGACGAAAACGCAAACCGGGAAATCAAAACCAGGCCTGGACTGGCGTTCCAGCTCAGCAGCAAGCCATCGGAACCTGGCCGATGGCGTGATCTGAATGGCCTGTCTGTGAGACGCACAGGTCGACTAAAGCGGTCAACCTCGTCTTGAAGGGTTGAGAACCATATCCTCTGCATTAGCAGCAAGTCTGACCATGGCTCATGTTTATGAAGTGGTACCTCCCCCCCCTTTTACCCCCCACCCTCCTTTGAAACATCCTGGACTTTAACGATACGTCTTGGGATGTCTTTGCAGGTGCTTAAGGAGTTCTTAGGGAGAGACTCTCAGCATAACAGGTCTGGCCCCGAGCCCTTTTTGCCGAAAAAAAAAGAGCTCATGGCAGACCGCAAAGCCACTGACTCAAGCGCATGCCGTTTTCAGCTTCGCTTCTTCTTGGCGCGTTTGGGCGCAGCAAAGCAAGTTGGCTCAGAAATTGGGTCTGTCTGAAACTTCCCTCTGCTTGGCCCATTTTTGCGAGGCAAAGGCAAAGGAAGCGGGTTCAACTCTCAGGGAAGGCGAGGGCTTAGGGAGGGCCTGGAAAAAAAAACAATGCACATGGCGATTTGGAGAAGTTTCGGCTGTGAGCCCTCAAATCTTCGCGTGCCGTTGCGGGGGAAATTACAAGTTAACGGACCTCAGTCCTCCTCGGGGGGCCCGAAGAAACGAGGTTCTAACAAGTCAGACTCAGCCTCAGTTCTTTCTGATGTATGGATTATTCTGTCCGACTGACAGAGTGAATGCCAGCAGTAAACAATAGCCCAAGGCAGCTTGCCCCTGCATGATCCGAAGTGCCATTGTTGGGACGGCCACCTTCAAACGACTTTGCTGCTTCAATCGTTCTACAAGATTCAAGAAGGAATGCTAAGACCTGAGAGGGAGGTCTTCGGGAAGTCGGAAAGGTGGGGGGGGGTAGGGCCGGGTCGTTGCACGACTTACGCAACACATGTTCCGACTCTCCTTGTGCTGTGCTGGGTTGCTGACAAAGCCAGTCTCCTCCAAATCCTGATATGTTCTTGAGGGTTTGCTTTGGGATTGGTGCTTAAAGGAAACAAAAAGACAACTCAGCAAGTCTTTTTTTGGCGCCACAGCACACCCCCACATAGTCCGAGCTGCCCAGCCCCCTCCCCACGCCTGCAGAGAGGACTTGGGTGCTGGAGGCTGCCTCACAGCACAGCACCTGAGCCTTGTGGGCCGCCAGGCGGCAAAGGCACTTGGCCTCTTGCAGGCAGTACACTGCCACCAGCTCCTGCAAACCCGATAGCTTGCGGGCGCCAAAGGAACCTGGCTGTGCGTCAAAAATAGGTACCCAACATGGAACTCTGGTAAATGGACACATGGACTGAAACTTGCGGTCCCCTGGTTGCCTAATTTTGACCCACAGCCCAAGCCTTGGTTGCTGTAGCGACCCCGTTGCAACCACTTCGCTCAGCGCTCGGTTGTTCGCGCAACCGCCCCACGCCCGTGCGGGAAAATGAGCTCCGATCCCCGACCCGGCCCCCCGAAACCCGAACCCCAACCTAAAGAGGCAGTGGTGGTGCTCCCCAAAGTTTGCCCCAACCTAAGCAGTCAGTGCAAAACCTCGAAGTCGGAGCCCCCAATCCAAGTAACAGACTCAGAGTGCCAGCGTGGAACACTTGAGTAGGCTGCCACAGCAGCCCTGGTCCTCCAAGAGGGTCTCAACCAACACTCAAGTGGGAACAGGGGGGTAGCTTGAGCGCAGAACATCTACGGCAAGCGAGGCTGTGTAGAAGGGGGCAGTTTTGACACTGTTGCACTTTCAGACCCCCTGGTCAAAACCTCACAAAAACACCGCCCCTTGCGGCCGGTGGGCGAGCGTGGGGTGCTGTGGGAACAAGTTGTTCACTTCTTTAGTACAACCGGGTATGCGTTCAGTGGTTTCATACGCCACCGCCCACAACCCGGCTGATGCTTCGCAGCGTTTTGTCAAAACGCAAAGTCCTCTAATGGTTTGCAGTCCCAAACACGCCCGTTGATCACCATCCATCCAGATTTCTCTATTTGCTCTCTCTCTCTCTCTCTGAATGCAGGAGCCTTTCGTTTCAAGATCACCACCACCGCCCGAGGTTGCTTCCCTTCGCCGACTCACTCGCTCGCTCGCACGAACGCACTCACCTACCCATCCACCCACCCGCCCGCCCGCCCGCCCACCCGCCCACTCGCAGAGCCCTAACAAGGCTGCAGAAATCTCATCCCCGCCTCCTCCGGAATTAGGCACACACCTTCCTGCGAGAGGGCTGCCATCTGCAAAGGGCGCTCCTGGCAATGGCAACGCGACTCATATCTGGCCCGGGGCCAGAGCACCAAATGCATAACCCGAAATGTAAAGTGAACCCCCTGAAGTTTGATCCATAAGTTATATTGCCATGATTTGGACAGCCAGGGCCCTTTCAGAAAATGGCGGAACCCCCAGAAAGGCACAACTTAGAACAAGGAGCATGGAAAGTCCACGAAGCCGACACGCCTTCTTCCGGACTTCTCATTATTGCAAAGGACACGCATTGTGAATTGGGGCTGCTTTGAAGTCCTTTGACGCAACTTAAAGACTTAGCAAGCAAAGAACAGCAAAGACTTCACACATCACTCCAATTAGCTATCCCCGAACAATCGATCCTTCATGCTGATGACTGTATCGCCAAGCAAACCACACGCAATGTGAAGGGAACAGGCTGTGCTACGACACAGGTGGCGAGTTGGTTCAACTTTAATGTGTGGGCTGTGGGCTTTCTTGAGAGTTGGCCGCTGGGGGTATGCGAGGTTCTCAGGAACCGCCAGCAGCAAAGCCAACTATTGAAATTGTCCCACCTGGTGTTTTGCCATCTTTCTGGAGCCTTTTGTGACTCTGTCAGCCTCTTCAAGTTTGCAACAAGAAGACTTTGAACATGGTCTTTGGCCGAGTGTGAAAGATAGAGGCTTAGTTTGAACACCTAGGTAACCGTCAGCAGCTTGTGCTGCACCCAACATCTGAGTTTTGGGTCTACAAAAACACGAGTCTCAAAGATATTCACAAGCAATTGCAAGCCCAACAGGGACAAACGAGCTCCCCTACTCATCTGCCCTTTGATGGCAACCCGCACACTTTGCCTGCCAAAAAGTTAACAGTCGAGTTCTGGTTGCTCGCCGGAAAATGACGCTGAACCCACGCTCGCCGCAAGCCGGCCTCTGTGCCGCACTCCACGTTCACCTCAGACCTCCACGAGCCGGCCTGTGGTGGAACCATCGGCCATCGGCACTCGTCGGGCCCACAGCCCCAATCCCAATAGGTAAAAGGTTTTAGGACCCTCTTGGTGGGTTTGGGCCCTGAAAAACAATAGGACGACCTGGACCCCAAACAAATAGTCATTGATTTTGTCCCGCACACTTGTCGAATTGTCTGACATCTGCTAAGGCATTGGCGCAAAATGATACTGGGCCCTTTCAGAGGCTCCTGTTTTTCACACCACCCTGCATGATTAGGCAGCTGTCTTCTCGGATGAAGGACCCATTGGCAGGTGGCCGTTTGGAGCTCTCTCTGGCACTGGACTCTTTAAGCATTGCGAACTCCCGTGGCGGCCGTTCTATAGGACTTGCGGGAGGAGGGCTTGCCACAAAGCGCCGCCATTTTGTCAACATGGGTTTCTCGTGGGCTATCCAAGGATGACTCTGCGGTACTGACAAAGGATCGTTCAGCCGGCTAGAGGTACGCTACCCAGCGCCAGATTTCGCCGGCACAGGTTGTGACTCATGAGTTGCCGATCTGGTGGTGCCCAGCATCCCGTCAATCCGGTACTTTGGCTGCGTACGAGACAAGTTGCCCACCGCAATATGTTGCTGGAAGATCTCGACTAAGTGGCACCTTACCATCATGAAACACATGCACACTGGGGCAGTAAAAAAGACAACAAACAACACCTTAGCCTACGCGTACACAGAGCACCAAACTGACATTGGTTGCACTGGAACTGCAATCAGTCACCAGTGAAAAAGATGTGACTTCTCCTGAATGCAACATCATTTTGCACAAAAGGTGCAACATGAGTAACATTGATGGACCGGAAAGGAAGGTTCAAACAGCAATACATTAGTCATGGGTCCGGCGGCTTCCCTACAGAGCTTGAATGATCGAATCATGCGTTGCTACTGTCTTGACTCAGTCTAAATCCGCCGACATTGCTCGGCGTGTCGGACACCTAAAGAGAGGATAGAGGATAACCCCCCCCCCTAACCCCCCCCCACCCGACGTCT